AGGCCAAGTATTCCCACTCCACCCAACCTTCCAAAAAGCTCTCCAAGAAAAACCTCAGCCCATTCAAGATCATTGCCTGCGTTGGAACCCACTCCCTCACTCTCCGCCTGCCGGAAAACATGCAAGCCATTCACCCAGTATTCCATGTCTTGCAGATCGAACCCTCCATCCTGAACATCATTCCGAACTGCCACCAGCCACCTCCGCCTCCCATAGAAATCAAAGGCGAGATGGAGTTCGAGATCAAAGAGATACTCGACTCCAAGATCGACCAACGTAGATGCAACAAGTTGCTCTACCTGGTCAAGTGGCTAGGCTATGAAGGGACCGATGAGGAGACACAATGGCTCCTTGCTGGCGAACTCGATCATGCCTCCGACCTCATCGAGGCATTCCACTCTCGGTACCCAGACAAGCCTGGACCCGAAGCTCCTTAGGAACCCCGACTCCTCTCCCATCTCTCCCTTTCTCTCCACTCCTCACTTCCATCTACATTTTTCCTTTTCTGTAAGTACAGCTCCCCTCACCTTACTAATTCTGGGCCTTCAAGGGTTCAGGCCTAAGAAGGGGATACTGTCATATCCATCCATGGCCATCGACTTCCACTACCTCCGATCTCTCCGGACTACCTCTGCTCCTTCTTCACTAACCTCAGAGCTCCCATATTCTGCAATCACCTTGGTATCCCTCAATGGTCACCACCCCCTCTTTTCAATTTATTACCTACGCCTCCCTAAGTAAGGAGCCCTGAAGGCTTCCGGACAGCTCCGATGTCCGCTAGCACACTCCCACCTCCACTGGGCAATACACTCGCTTGCCCTGCAAGCCCACCTTCGGGCCTATCCCTCCTTTCCGTTTCTGGGTTATCGCCTACCATTCTGCTAACCCCGCAACCTGACTTGTCGGTAATATTCAATTGGCTAATGTTTAACCCCATTAGCTCCACTCTGCTCAGCCCCGCCATTTACAGGCCTGCCCTCGTTGTAACTATATATACTCAACTTGTCCATAGGTTACACCTCAGTAATAAAATCGACTAGAGTTGACCCCCTTTAGTTCTGGTTGCCAGTTAGTAAGGTAGGGAGCATACATAAGTAACGACTCTCCGGATGCAAATATTTCAAAACTTGCATCACTTCTTATTCTCAGCGCAATGCTCTGCTGCTCAAATGAGCACCAAAAACCTGTAGGATAGACCTTCCTTAACAAGTCTTTGGATTCGCTTCTTCAATAAATATCATATTGATCAAGTAACGAGTGAATTACATTCTGGTGTCAGGAGACTACTTCTATGAGCACTATTAATCCAAGGGCGCAATAATAAAAATTGAAGTTCCATCAAGTTTGCCACACTAAACACCATCGAAATGAATGGCAGTAACTGCCGAGAACGAAAAAGGAAATTCTCCCCGTACCCTTTTCCCTCCAAAACTCGGCGGAACAGAGTTCTAAGCATGCCTCTGGGGAAAAAACACAAGCGCGCAAATAATTTGGGACTGTATGCACAGAAGGTCCTTTTTTCACATTTTTAATTCAACCCGAAACTCACATACTCATGCAGAAATCATGCACACATAAACAGACTAAACCATCATCACCAACTATGGACATGACTACCAGTGATGCCGATGTTCCCTCTGATACAGAGAACTTTGATTTGGCACTGGAGAGCGAGTCTGATTCCAATTTCAGTGAAATTGATGAGCATGAACCAGACACATACCCCAATATTCCGCCAATCCCTCCCCTTTAGGAGCGGCTGTCTGAATCGCAGAAAGCCCTCTCAGCACTGATCAACCAGTGGGGCGCAATCCCCGGAAACAAAGTTCACTACCCTGGAAACACAATTAATGTGATTCAGGCAGAGCGTACACAGCGGCATCATGCAGCCAAGTGGAGAGCTACCAGGGAAAAATTGCAGGAGATGAGCAACAAGACAGCAGTTGACCAAAAGAAGCGGACAATTACTGACTTTTTCCAGAGTCGCCAATCCCACATTCCTGCTGACAACCTATCCCCCCCCTTCCAATTCCCTTAACTATCCCCTGGATCACCCAGTTGCTCTAGTAGTGGGAGAGCGGCCACTACTGCTGGAGCCTCAGACACTGAGAGTCAGACAACACCGCAAATTTCAACAACGCAAACACGCACGCTTGCACCCACACCCCTATCCACACCTGAACCTGGGCCTGTGTCCCCATCCCCTTATAATCCACCACCCACACTTCCCTCAGCTGGCATATCAAACCCGGTAACTCCTCCAACCAGTGGCCAATGCACAAGTGGGGAGGAACTATTCGCGCGGGTCCAGTTCCATTTGCATCCCCATGTTGCAGCACCAACCAAAGCTCAAGTGATCGAGGCGGCAGAGAAACTTGATGCACTCATAAGGCCACCTCGAGCAACAGGTGCTGGCCATAAGCATTCGAAATTCGACAATTTTATGCGGATGTGACTGGAGCAGTGTCAGAGTCTGCGCATCTATTCGCAGTGTAAGAGTATCCCCAGGAAACTAGTCGATATCAAAGCTGGGGGCTAGCCCAGCTGGCATAGTAGCCTTATGTACATGAGTTCTGCTAACTCACGAGAGCGCAGTTACATTGGGAAGATGGTAACCGATAGAAACACAACATCAAATAGGAAGATAGAAGATGCAGGAAATGAGGGAATATCGGGTAAGGGGTGATGTGATAGCAAATATAGCACAATGAGTTATATCTGTGTTCTAACTACGTAATTATCTCACACAATCTCGGCTAACAATTACCTCATTGATATCGCTTAGAGTAAAGGGGGGCCGGATAACTGGGCATCCCCTGACAAGCAGATGCTCCAAGTATACCGGACATTCAGCTCAGCACACTTGGATCCGAGTGGGGAAATGGGATGGATCACAGCATCATTGTGGGTTGCAAGATCATGGGATCGTGGCTCATCATATGCTTCATGGCTGCGAAGGTGGTGTCAAGTATTTATGTGGGATTATGAAACGATTCCAGTCAATCCATATGGATGGTGGAAGGAGTCAGTTCTGACAACGGATGAGGACCTTAGGAGTGAAATCGAGGCTCACCTGCGCAGTATTGGCCCATACATCTCAGCTATGGACATAGTCCATTTCTTGAGCACTCCAGAAATGCGTGTCCGGCTCAATTGCGATAAGCCAATTTCAGTTCACATGGCACGGCGTTGGCTTCAAACAATGGGTTACCGGTGGCAACAGGAGAAGAAGGGTCAATATTCAGATGGGCATGAGCAGGAAGATGTTGTCCAGTACCGCCAGAGAGTCTTCCTCCCTGCCATGGCAGAGTATGACAATTCTATGAGGAAGTGGAATAGTCAAGGTGAACAAGAAATATCTGACAACTCACCGGAACACCACACTGTTGTCTGGTACCATGACAAGTCAATATTCTATGCTCATGATCGCCGGAAACTGTGCTGGGTTCACAGTTCTGAGTCAGCAAAGCCGCATCCAAAGGGTGAAGGTGTTTCACTTATGGTTGCTGACTTCATCTCTGCGGATTATGGTTGGCTGAGAGGTGATGGGTGTGATGTGCGTGTTACTCTGAAGCCGGGAAAGAACAAAGATGGATATTTCACTAATGATGATGTGATTCAGCAAGCATCACAGGCCATGGAGATATTACAGGCATGCTACCCGAACGACAAACATGTTTTTGTCTTTGACAATGCTTGGACTCATTCTAAGCATGCTGACGATGCATTATCAGCTGTCAAAATCCCAAGAAATCCCAAGCCATGGGGAGTTCCTGTTGCCTTGCACAATGATAGTGGCTCAATCATTTATGGTCCAGATGGAAAGCCCCGCATGACTACCAAGCACATGGCTGATACGATGTTCAATGGGCAATCACAGCAACTTTATTACCCTGATGACCACCCACAGTATCCTGGGTATTTCAAAGGCATGGCCAGATTCTTACTGAGCAGGGCTATGACACAACTCACTTGCGTGCCCAATGCAAGAAATTCAAGTGCCGAGCCAGTGCAAGCCAATGCTGCTGCTGCAATATTCTTTTTCACTCCAATGATTTCATCAACATCAAAACCCTTCTTGAAACCCATTGCGAAGCAGCTGGTTTTGATGTGCTTTTTCTCCCTAAGTTCCACTGTGAACTGAATTTTATTGAACAAGTCTGGGGATATGCAAAGCGGGTTTATCATGAATCTTCCCCATCATCAAAGATCGGAGATGTGGAGATTAATGCCAAAAATGCATTGGACTCGGTGTCTTTACTCTCAATCTGGAGGTATGTACTCAGTGGAATTTCAGGATTAAAATTGCTGATTATTCTCAGGTTTGCAAACCGCTCACTCCACTATATGGACACATATCGAAAGGGTCTTGATGGGCAAGAAGCAGCATGGGCAGTGAAAAAATATTGGGGACATCGCCAAATCCCAGCCAAGGCAATGCAGGAAATGATACAGGAACTCATGATAGTAAGAAAGCAGGTTGTATATACTTCACATTAATCAGTCGAGCCACAAATGTTTGCCACGTACAGCCACACCAGACCTTGCCAGGATAGTGATCACTTATGTATGCTCCCTACCTTAAGTTAGGGCACAGATGTGTTACTTGGCACAGCGCTCCTAGCATAAGTCGCTAAGGCCGAAGCCCTCTGCAATGGAGACATTCCTTCATCTTGATCTGGTCTCTGACAACCTCCGTCTTGTACCGTCTGGGGCACCACAGTGTTGCGCTATTCAATTACGAGGGTCGAAAAGCACCCATCAACATCATTGCCTCAAAAAAAATCGAAGGCCAGGAAGGATGGCCACAGTTGAGATTAGAACTCCTAGACGCATTCTTGAAAATCCCTCAGTCCATTAGTGCACCTGTGGTTCAGATGACCATATCCCGCTCCGAAACTGGTCAAGACAGTTCCACTTCTGCAGAACAAACGAGTATGACACAGGCAGCAGCAAACACAGTCTCTACACCAACCCATTCCAAAGTAGCCTGTTCCACAATGACCAATTCCATTGTCAGCAAGGGCAAGGACAGTTCTGAACGCCCATTTACACCATCACTTGCCTTCAAACTACCTGATCCAAACACCATTATGCCCACGCCACCCATGCCCCTAACTCCCAAGAAACAGAAGCAAAGTTCAGCTACTGTTTTGTCCAGCTATTGGGAGAAGGTCGAGCATGGATCCATTGACACTCACACGGTCAGTGATAGCCTCTTTAGACTTTTGCTTGCATCCAAGGCCAATATGCCACACAGCAGTGAATCTTCTGTGGCCACAAATTACTCAGGCATTGAGCTGTCCTTCTTCACTGTAGCCAACCGTTGGGTCAATTTCCCAGTCCCTGTCACCCCTACATGATCACCGTTAACTCGCCAAAACCTGGAAGCCCTGCAGCAGAGAGGAATGAATTTGGACTCACCTATTCCAAGCATAACACCATCTTCAAACCGCTTGACAGCCCAATCAGTTAGCATGCCTAGTTCATTGTGCCATGCTGTCAAGCCTTATGAACTTCCTGATAACAATCGAGAGCTTAGTGAAACAGACATAAGCCTCATCATTCTTTTGGCTCAAGCCAAAGAGTTCAATGAAGCCGGCTTCTACAACACATTGGTCAGACACTTTTATCGTACACCAGGTGAGGCATACCTACTCACATGGATGGCAGCAGCGAGCTGAGGAGCATCAACAGGTTGATTGCATAAATGTAAATTAACCATAAATTTGCCAAAAAAAAAAAAGGCTCCATTCAGATTTATTATTAAATTCAACAGGCACATACCCAACCATCAAACTGAATGGCCCTTGATTTGTTGTTGTTTGTTCAGTTGTTCAGTTCTGTTTGCGTTTGGCAGGTCACTCAAAGATGTCAATGCCACTAACAGCACGAGGTAAGCTCACTTCAAGGGCAACTAATAGGACTTACCAATGTAGCAAATGGTCCCAGCGGATAAGCAGAGGGAGAGGGATCTAGTGAAGCAGGCATTTAATGCCCAAGTCATTCAGCTGAAGGCAGATTTTGAAAGCCGCATCTCTGCTATTGCGCTAGAGTTCTCAGGCCGTGGACGCCACTATTCCAAGCATCAAATTCGCAGCCAGATAATCTATAACCTATTGAAACCAAAGAAGACTCGTAAGCCAATGCTTCGCAATGCATGGGCCCATGCTGAGGCTGAGGCCTGACATTTGAAAGGTAAAGTTTGACTTACGTGAACTCAAACTACATGCTTACAAACGCTCTATCTAGAGGGCACATTGCCAGCCTTGCCCTACAAGGAGGAGTACCTTGAGCTCCTTGGGGAAATCAACAAAAAAAATATCACATATGAGGACATAGGAAATCCTAGGACCCCAACAGAAGAGTACCATGCACAAGTCATCCTAGATGGAGTTATGACTAAAAGGACAAACCGTGCACTAAAAGAAACGATAATCTCACCTGAATTATCTATGAATTCCATTGCAACACATGCACAGGACTGTCATATCCATACAATCCCGACCTCCGCTCCAGGCTCCTGGAACTCTGGACTCCGACTTCCGGAGCCCTACTTCCCTTCCATCACTTTCTCCTTGCCGACTCCCAAGAGGTTATCCCACCTCCGGCTTGGACACCACCTTCGGTCTGACTCCGGAACATTCCGGGTCCGACCCCAACCTCGACACCTTCCAGACGAGTACGCAAAACCTATGCTCCCAACTCCGGACCTCCGCTCCGGAATCCCGTTCACGTCTCGTCTCCGGAACCTCCGGTCTTAGTTCCGACCTCGGACTTTGACCCCACCTCCACTTATACCCATTGTATTGGTTAGCTCATTCCATTTAATTACCTTTGCCAATATTCCGGAGTTTAACCTCCGAGTTCGGACTTTCCGGACTTACTCCGGACCTTGCAACTATTGCATTGTCCATTTCAATTCCGCTATTCTCCCTCATTCCTATTTGGGCTGCTGCTTCCTTTCTATTCAGTCAGCTAGCCATTCCCGACTCCCATCCTCCTTCCTTCCTTCTTGGGCCTTGGCCCTTCATTCCTCCTTTGGGAAACACCATTGAGTCAAACACTTGACCCTCGGTGTTGTTCCTCTTTCCATCTCCCTTTGTCTCCTTTTGTCCTACCCTTGTTCCTTTTGATTCCGGACCCCTCCTTATATACAATGTACCTAGTAACTTGTAACCTCAGTCCGAAATCGACATGAATTCCCCCAAGAGACTTTCCCTCTGCTAGACCCGAAATTAGGGACCCCTAGGACAACCAGCAATGGCACAGCGCTCCGCCTGAGTCACTGAGGCCAAGGTCCTTCCATGCTAAGTCTCCGATTCCATTCCGGAGTCGTCCGAATCCCCGCATTCTAACAAGGACCAACTGATAAACATAGTATGTGTTCAATGCCTACATCAGGAAACCCCTGAGGCTGATTGAGGTGATTGAGATCATTTCAATGTCACACAATTTACAATCACCACAACCAGGTCCCCTGATTACAATTACACCAATCACACGGGTGATTGAGCTGATTGTACTCATTGTACTCATTGTCACATTTCTCTTCTGCATGTTGAAGTTCATCGATAAAATTATTATATTTGAAAATTATGTTATGTACATACAGGCATGCAAGTAACTAATACCAAAACACAATGGTGCAAAACAATAGGAGGAAAGCGAAATGGGTGAAAATACAATGTAATTAAACAAAGCAAACGCACGCCTCAACCGCTGGACCGTTTGGCACCAAACTCAATGGGAAGATGGGGCTGGATCTCCTCTATCAAACAAGCCTAGGTTCATCGGAAACAGACATGTGGTTGTTGAGTATGCACAGTAAGAAGTTGGGGTTAGTGAAATACAATATAATTAAAGAAAGCAGATGCCCACCTCAACCACTGGATCATTTGGCACCAAACTCGGTGGGAGGATGGAGCCAAACCTCTATATCAAACGAGCGTAAGTTCATCCGAAACGGAGGTGTGGTTGTTGAGTACGAGCTGTAAGAAATTGAGGTTAGTGAAATACAATATATTTAAAGGAAGCAGACGCGCACCTCAATCGCTGGACCGTTTGGTACCAATCTCTGTAGAAAGATAGAGCTGGATCTCATCTATCGGATGAGCTTAGAATCGTCGGAAATGGATGCGTGGTTGTTGAATACATGCAGTAAGAAGTTGGGGATAGTGTCGTGTGTGAGAAGTTAAGTTGGGGTTGAATGGAATGACTTGAAAAAAAAAGAATATGGGAAGGGAGCATGTTAGGGAAGGGTTGGGTGACTGTGGAAGGGTGTTGGCCCATGAGCACAAGTAAGGAACATCGGAGTGGAGTAAAAAATATTGTGTTGCATAGTAAAGAGACATGGGTGTAGATAGCGTGAGGTGGAGTGAAAAAAAAAGTTACAAGTTGCAAACCAATTCATTTGAAAACTGTACAGCACCTGGAGCAAACAAATGGACTCGCGAGTGTGATGATTGAGACGATTGAGAGTAGTCGATTGGGCAGATTGGGCAGATTGAGCACTTGAATTGCTCTCAATCACCTCAATCGGCCTCGGGGGTTTCCTGATGTAAAACAAGCACAAGGTTCTAGTACTAAAAAGTGACAGGCGAAATCAGTTCATGAATCATGCGATGTCGAAGTGGTTGTTATGATGACTCAAGGACACTTGAAAGACTTATTCTCACCAGTTTTCTGGGCAACAGATAAGGTGAAGTACTACTGGGGAGTTGTGGCAAAAATGGACATGGCAGTGCAAGTTCACCTTATGGAGGTACATGCAATCAGCACGTTAGACAGTATGTAGCTGAACTGTCTCTTGACTACTCACCAACATGGGGTGTAGGGTGTGGCGAAAGCCTACACAGTGAAAGCCAGGAACATGCATTCCAAAATGGCCGAGATAACCAGAGAGAGTCTCTGTCATATCCATCCCCGGCCATCGACTTCCGGTCCCTCCGTTCCCTCCGGTCTAACTCCACTCCTCCCTCACTAACCTCGGAGCCCCTGTATTCCGCAACCCTCTCGGCACCCCTCGATGGTCACCACCCCCTCATTTCAACTTATTACCTATGCCTCCCTAAGTACGGAGCCCTGAAGACTTCCGGACAGCTCCGATGTCCGCTAGCGCACCCCCGCCTCCACTGGGCAATACAATCGCCTGCCCTGCAGAGCCCACCTTCGGGCTTATCCCTCCTTTCCGTTTCTAGGTTATCGCCTGCCTTTCCGCTAACCCCGCGACCCGACTCGTCGGTAATATTCAGTCGGCTAATGTTTAACCCCGTTAGCTCCGCTCCGTTCGGCTCCACCAATTGCGGACCCATCTTCGCTGTAACCATATATATATCCCGCTTGTACATAGGTTACACTCCAGTAATAAAATCAACTAGAGTTACCCCCCCTAGGTTCTAATTGCCAGTCAGTAAGTTAGGGCATGGACATGTCACTAGGCACAGTGCTCTTGGCAGAAGTCGCTGAGGCCGAAGCCCTCCACTACAGAGACATTCCTTCGTCTCGAATCTGGTCTCTGACAGTCTCTGTGAGTGACATTGTCCCAGTATTCCAACATGCACTGACCAAATATGAAGACAAATTGACTGGGAAGCCAAGATTATTGATGGAACGGGTGCCAGCAAACTATTTGAAACTCACTATCAAACATTGTGTCGTGATTGACATGACCAATTACCCAGATGGCAAACTGATCGAACCAAAGCTTGCTAACGTCGATCACCTGCGCCAGGTACTCGATGGATGGAAGAATAACAAGATCAAGTGGGTCAAATTAACCGATGAACAGGTGGAAGAGAGGCATGAGGAGCTCACTGCACTGGCGCCAAAATAGCATCCATGTGAGAATCCCAAAGTGCAGGACCCACACTAATAAACTAAATTTCCATACATAGGCCGAGTTCCGGGGTCACAGATGGCAGGGTTGGAGAGGAAGGCCTAAGGTCATCTGTGAATGTCAGTTCCGGGTTGGTATATTCATTTTTTCCCCAGAGATGCCATCAAGGATAGGCTGGCACTGACTGTTACTCACCATACTCTAGATCGACGGCTCCAGCTACCTCCCTATTGCCTTCCCAGTGTGATGCCACCCAGATTCCAACCCAACCGCCAGCAGAGGAAAGCGGACAAGCTGTCATATCCATACAATCCCGACCTCCGCTCCGGGCTCCCGGAACTCCGAACCTGACTTCCGGAGTCCTACTTCCCTTCCATCACCTCCTCCTTGCCGACTCCCAAGAGGTTATCCCACCTCCGGCTCTGACACCACCTTCAGTCCAACTCTGGAACATTCCGGGTCCGACCCCAACCTCGACACCTTCCAGATGAATACGCAACACCTATGCTCCCAACTCTGGGCCTCTGCTCCGGAATCCTGTTCGCATCTCCGTCTCCAGAACCTCCGGTCTTAGCTCCGACCTCGGACTTTGACCCCACCTCCGCTTATACCCATTGTATTGGTTAGCTCATTCCATTTAATTATGTTCGCCAATATTCCGGAGTTTAACTTCCGAATTCGGACTTTCCGGACTTATGTCGGACCTTGCAACTATTGCATTGCTCCATTCAATCCCACTATACTCCCTCATTCCTATTTGGGCTGCTGCTTCCTTTCTATTCAGTCAGCTGGCCATTCCCCACTCCCAACCTCCTTCCTTCCTCCTTGGGCCTTGGCCCTTCATTCCTCCTTTGAGAAACACCATTGAGTCAAACCCTTGACCCTCGGTGTTGTTCCTCTTTCCATCTCCCTTTGTCTCCTTTCATCCTACCCTCGCTCCTTTTGATTCCGGACCCCTCCTTATATACAATGTACATAGTAACTTGTAACCTCAGTCCAAAATCAACCTGAATTCCCCCCAAGAGACTTTCCCTCTGCTAGATCCGAAATTAGGGACCCCCAGGACAACCAGCAATGGCACAGCGCTCCGCCTGAGTCGCTGAGGCTGAGGTCCTTCCACGCTAAGTCTCCGATTCCACTCCGGAGTCATCCGAATCCGCCCGGTTCTAACACAAGCGGTGACCGCCATGTAAGCTCTTATTCACTACACAAAGCTACTGACTGATTGAGTGATATCAGTCAAGGTCGCAAACGTAAAGCCATGCAAAGTTCTGAACCGTGAAAGAAGAAACAACCCACATCTGCTGGCATGGTGGGCTCACAGCTTGGAAGAGAGTCAGGATAAAGTTTTTCCCCCACCACATGTCCCCAACCAAGTAACCCAGCACCATTACATTCATTCCATATTGCAGAGTTGTTCGAAGCAAGTTCAGTCTGCACAAAAAAGGCAACTCGCCTCTGTAAACAACCCACTCAGTAATCCAAAGTTGTGTTGTCATTGTATTGCTTGGTGGTGGCAAGTTTGAGAATAAGATTACAAAAGAAGAACGACATCTAAGCTTGAACCGTGAAGGAGATGACAACAACACATGATACCACAGTTTTTCAGCAGTGAAGAGGCGAGAAAAAAACACGCTAGTACAAGAAAGAACGAAAAAAAAGTGAGCAAAAATGGGAGAGAACGACTTTGGCAGCGATGACGAAGCATCAGAAGTCGATGCCGACAATTCATTCGATGTAGCAATGCTGATGAAGTGTTGCGTAAAACATTGTAATTGAAAAAACTGGTCATGGGCACCCCAGAGCTTCTGGGGCCCTTCGGGCCCCTCCATAAAAACTTATTAGTGCACCAGTGCAGTTACTCAGACGCTTATCTACTATCTAAGACGGTAGGATGGCTGGTACACCCCAGACACCTCTTTATATTGACTGAGTCACGAGTACTAGGTGGCGCCGATTTAATCTGACCGGATCCAAACGGATGCAAACTGCTTAGTGACATCATCCAGAGTCTTGCCCTCACGAAACTTCATCACCATGCGTCGAAACCTAGTGCACTGAACGGTTTGACACTAGCAAGTTCACCTTGGGCAATGCGGCTTGATGGATCAAGGAAAGGTGGTGGGGAGAATTGGTCAGATTTTCCTGTTGTGGATAAGAAGAGGGTCCAGATAGGGAACGACCGTAAACCCCGCAAAGCGCGTCTCATCGATGAGAATGCGGACCACCTTCTACCAGTATTTGAAGGCGCCAAGGTGTGGGCTTCATCAAATGCCAAAGTCAATATGGGAGTATGCTGCATTTTGAGCTCGAAACGAGGGTTTATTTTTATACTTGTTGGACGACAGTATCAAGTGTTACCACACCTTGTGTATAAAAAAGACATTGTATTAGTCAAGACCATGTTTAGGGAAGTAATGGGGAATACCATTTATGTTTGTCGCGAACTTCCTTTCTGTTTTGAAGGAGTCATCGGCTATTATTTGAATATAGCTGCCTCGACTGTAAGTGACCCAGCAGCGACACAAAACAGGGACTTGCCTCCTCCGCTCTGGTCAATACCTCCGCGTAAAACTGCACACATAGAGGAGCTCGCTGTCCAAACCGCTGTCCAACTGTCATAAAAAGTCGAAACTGCCCGGCAAGGGATTTAGGATAGTCCATTAATGCCGCTGACTTCTCGGCCGGTAAGAGCACAGAAGGAGGGGCGATGATACTTTTTGTCCAATGACATTGGATACCCTCTCGAACAATGCAATGAGAAATGCGCTGAAACGAGTATCACTTTCATGCTCTTTAAGGCCAATCCTTGTGAACCAATTCAAGACGTCAGGAGCCGGAATCCTAAATTGAAACATTGGAATCACACAGAAGAATGCAGGAAGAGAATATCACCTTCAGCTCCCTGACGGAGATTGAAGGGGACTTCTTGGAGAACTCGTCGACCATTCGCGATTTCCCCATGCCAGAGGACTGTACGATTGGGAAGAGGCGAGCATATGTATCAGCAATATCTTGTCTCATCATGTAGAATGTTGGCAGCGTCTCTTCTGTATTTGGAAGACCACAACTTGACTGCCGCTGGAAGGAGGTCGGAAAGGAATGACACAAACAGGGGATGCTCTGCCCACCATCTTCAGATGATTGAGAACCAAGTATCGCTTCAGGGTCGGGAGGATCCGCAGGCTGGGCGGTTGGAAAAAGAATTTCTGTAACGATCACAGTTCATCAGAGCCATCCAATGACGTCCAAAGCCTACGGTGCATACCCAAGCATCGTATCTCCTTGAACGATTGAGCCTCCCATGCTTCATCTGACCTATCCCCCAACTCCGGATGTTGTGCGATTAAATCATCCAGTGGCGGTAACCTTTTCGAGTCGAGTAGTCCGTCTGATTTGGTTGAGAAGAAGAAAACGAAATTCATTTCTGGGGACAAGTTTGGCAAACTTGCGCATGGTCTCCACGACAAGTGCGTCAAGTGTTATGTGGGTGGCTTCGTCCAGGACACTGGGATGAACCGCGAGAGTTGTGGGCGCACGTTTAGTGGAGGGCTCACTCACTGACGGCCCAATCTCCAAATTGGATCTCTTTGGAGCTGACTGATTTGGGAGCAGGAGTTGAATTTCGCGACTCACGTGCGGATGTTGCTGGGGAGCCATTGAGAATTCCCGAAGGCAGGCTCGGTGACTTCCACTGACAAACCTCCGATGTGCACAGGTTCTTCTTCCATTTGTGTTTCTGGGGCCAAGGCATCTAATGGAACGGCTCGAGCATGCCTACCGCTTCGCGAATTCGGCGTGTTTAGTAGAGTAGAGGATGTGAGATGCACAGTCCCAAGCCGATCAAGGAATGTGAACTGTAAATGTAACAACAACTGGCTGTGTTGGAAACACTTCGGAAACCCCAGCATACTCCGAGCCCCTGAAGGGCGAAAGTCGGCACACAGTGCCCGAGGTCTGAGTCAGGGAAGGGCCGAAACTGACTTTTTGGCGCGAAATGATGTATCCCGTGAGGGCCTTTTACAGCCGTTTGCTGCCATCTTGAATTTATCGTGTTGGGAATGCGAAACACCGGAGACACCCGGGACATATGTATGTGGAGGATGTAACTAAGCATAGAGGGCTCCGGATTGCCGTCACATAGCATGAATATGGGTGCTTTAGCACGTGTTGGGGAGCCAGTGCATTATTGTGCCGCAAGGCACTAGGTGCGACCCTTTTCGGAAATAATTGGTGGACGCCGTCTGAAAACTGGCGCTTAATTAACCTATCGATGCTGGCCTGCGGATGAGCGCTGCCTGAAGCGGCAGTACCCGCTACTCATCCCGGTTCCGTCTTACGGGCCCTTCATTTCGCTCCCAAACAATGTTGTTACATACTTATCACAAGGCTCACCAGTTGGTAATACATAGTTGTAATTCAGGGGATTCTGTATAAGGCAATCCGCTACAAGCTCGCGATCAACCAGAGGTAAGCTTAGCAATTTACTTACATGTCGAGGCGTCATAGCCCTTTATCTTTAAAACAGTGTGCGGCTATCTGTCGATCCTTCCAGAGCACCATGGCCGTTACATGGTTCATTTAGACACCGAGTTCTGTACGAAAATCTTGGTGGAAACATACCTATCACCATCATTCATGTATTTCCGATGAGTTAAACCTGAAAGAACATTATGCACATGAGTTCAGTGTAGCTTCATGTGCGAAGCCCGGAGTGTCAGCTTCATGCCACCACCTGGATGATCAATGCACCCTGAGGGCTAATCATGGATCTGGGGCGTTCCCGAATATTAGGGGGCACGTTTTTCTGTACTCTAACCACACGCAGACTCTTTGGCACCTCAGTCTAATACTGTAAACCCCATGCATGCATCGAAGTCATCTAAGTGCGAATGCCCCTACTTTGTGAGGTCGACATGGCGAACACCGAGTGCCGGCATGGCAGGCCCATTATGTCATCATTGCTGCGGGTGTCCTGTTGAACCGACTCCATGTAATGATCCTAAAGGAGTGTGCTTTCGAGGAGCATCAAGAGGAAGTCACCGGGGGAAGCAAGCGAGTTGGAACGGTTCCGGTCAGTTTGATGATTCTGTCCTGAAACACTTGGAGTTCACATCTATGCTGGCTCATGTGGTGGGAAGGCTTCTTGACTGATGTCCTCTTACATCTGCTAGGGGCAACCCAGGTACCAAGTATCCAATCATGGGCCCCTGTTGACATGAGCAGGTTTCAGGGAACGCAACCAGGACATGGCCATCCGAGGCTATCTCAACGGGCGGGTCAAACATCGGCTAATGGATACTGTGGGCCAGCGAGTTCTGAAATAAAAGATAGCCTTGATGAGGGTGGAGGGAGTGGTGAGTTTCACAGGCTACTCTATTGGTGCTAATGATGGATGGACATTATGGATATCTTTCGGACGGGTGTGTGAACAGGGGATTGGCTGTTTGACACCTCCAAAATTCCCGATCACCCCAGGTTCTATTTCAGTCCCAAGCAGGAAAGGATCCCACGCGACATACAAGGAATTACGAGGGCGAAAACCCAGGAGGAGAAAGCAGGGTCCTGGCAAGAAGTGGAATAAGCAACGAGTTATCAATTTGCCTTTCGTGCGTTGTTGAATTCTTCAGTTACATATGTAATCTACATATTCTCGTAGGTTAGTGGTAAAGTAGAACAAAAAAGGAAAGAAAAAGAAATTCCAAACACACGAGTATATTGCAACTTGATTTTGAAAAGAATGCGCCGTCTACGTTTCAAATCACTTTCAACTCATGCGAGGATTCGGGAATGACATGAACGCAGAGCTGCATCGTAGGAAAAGTGTTCTGGGGAAATGAAGTGGTGTGTTGACTGCCTTAGGAGCAAGCAATGAGTCGGATATATATATTAGCAAACATGGAGGCACAGGGGTTGAAAACAAGTACATTCATCACGAAAGATTCAAGGTAGCGCAGAATTTACAAATTTCCAAACCATTGATGATGTTTCAAGAAAGGGTACAGAGAATTGCTACCCACATGAATAATTCATGTCATCATTGAGTCGTGCAGGGAAACACAAGGCACTTAGCCTCAAACGAATTCCCCTATACAAGAGCACCAGCACCAGGAATGGCCGCTCCGCGAGGGATAAGGCAGTATCCCATACTCCAAGCTAGACTTCTAAGGCAACTCACAGCATCCTCGTTCCAACTCGCAGCATTTCCCAGAGTCTCACCACGAGTTTCGTGAGGGGAGGCATCTGATTGTGAACGGAGCGCAGTAGATGGCCCCGCAAGCTCATAGTTAACAGTAATGTCTAGCATCAGAAAATCCCAATTTTCGCCGCAGGATACCCTCTCTTGCACGGGAATCACTTGCTGGAGGAGGGAAGCGGAGCTATGGGGAATAAACTCACTAGCGGAAGAGCTAGCTGCAGGATAGGGGAGTGAACCAAAATCCAAGACGGATGATTGGTCGATGTTCCCGATGTATTCGTATAACCCCAAGGTAGAAGGTGGGTAGAAGGCTGCAGGAGCATTAGTAAGTGGCACATTTCCGAGTTCGTTTGCCAGTGGAACTATGATGGAGGATCCCTCGATGGCTGAAATAGTCCCCACTTGGTTTACCCATCCATGAATTGTGGATGGCAATACCGCCATCGGAGAAACGATAGCAGATGGTGGGGGAATTCTCGCGTCAGCCACAGGCTCACCCGTTGTATCTCCAAGGCTCGATTGTAGATATGAAAGGAACTCTCGCGTTCTGGGGAGCAGCGCTATTGAACAGAGAGAAATAGAGAAGGGATGATAACATTCAGAAAGAGGGACGTACCTATCTCAACACATGTGGGGTCGCCTGAAGTCAAGGCCCTGACCTCCTCCAGACACTCCCGAGCTCTGGTCGATTTCTACAAAGTTATTCTCAGTGCTTCGCCTATCATACAGACCTTCACTACAATGACGAACGCGTACTTTGACCACATTTGAAATCTTTATCAGGCAGGGGATGCATTCAACATGCATGCGGTGGCATGCGTCACAAGGCTGGCAATCTAAAGGCTGGACACATCCCTACAAAGTTGTGAAAATGATGTTGAGTAAGAAACTCGTTTGCACTATTGGATATGATGGAGGCTATAGGGCGTGTGTCGTATATATATATAACAAGACCGAGGCACGATGCATCCTGACTTGGTCTTATGACACACGGAGTTGGTGTTCCCCATGCCGTGACAGCAAGAACATTAGCCACGCAAGAATGCGCCTTTAGCGCCTTTGATGCCAAACGTTCTCAATCGAGTAATGCCATGGCTACAGAGCGAGCAAACACTGAAGCAGAATAAGGAAGGATCCTTGTCCGGGTAAAGATGAAATAGTATGTACTGATAAACATACTTTTTAGAAGCAAAGCAAAGCAGGCATGCGATTCAAAAGTTTCGGCTTCTGGGCGAAGTGTTGAGAATACAATGTTTGCTCGGAGTTGGACGACAATATTGAGATGTGTACAATTGGATTCGACTCGAGGCAGTCTCATGCAACATTGAGGCCAGAAAAAATTACCAATGACCCGGTTTGTTTCTCTTAGCCCTTTCATTGAAAATACGAATCAGTGAAACGTTAAGGATATACATGGGTGAATATGCAAACAAACATTTAACAAGAAACTCGCTTCAGGAGCGAAGTGGGGGATGCTTGAAGCTTCCACGCGAAAAAGCAATTTAATAGTAAATAAAATACGCACTTAGGGGTTTTTTTTTTCGGTGAGGTCCTAGGGGAGGCAGCCAACAGTTGCCAAACAATCTTGTACGACAACCACACAACTCAGTACTCGAGGAAAGGGCATGGCCCCACACATTCAACATTTCGCCCGAGCGAGCGATTGGTTATTAAGTAGCGCAACTAGAGATGGGCATGAACATGCCGGTTCATGAACGTTCATAAACTTCGGGTCATGAACTTTCCCACGACCGGCCGTTCACGTGAACCAGTTCGTAAACTTTCAATACACCACCGCAGACTGCCATTTAGCCACAACTTCAATATTATAATTCTTTCTGCTTCGTCTCTTCAGAGTTCAGACACATGTTAGACACCCCTCCGATAATAGACTGGTCAACAGATGCGGATGTGACACAAACAGGGAAGATTATGGATGTCCAGGCTATGCAGTTGGGCTGGAGCGATGCGAAAGTTGCAGGGGTGTCAACATCGTCCTTTCCTCATCGCATTCACATTTGCAGCTAAACTATTTTCAAAGCATATGACAGACACCGGCGCTGGAGTGAATACTACACTCACTTCAATCAAACACTCTCGCGGGTTCCAGCCAAAGGCACGGAACCAGCTCATTTTTCGTATTCTCATGTTTGCAAGTCACGTCATCCTGGTTGCCGCCATGTGCAGAAACATGCAAACATGTCCACAGATAAGCTCAAACAGAAGGCTATGAAATGCAATGTGGCTCATCTTGGTGCCATCTCGCCCCTGAAAACCCCACGCAAAACTACTGCGGCAAAATTTGATCAACACTACCACTGCATGCTTATTGCCCTGAAATGTGCGGTTTCGAATAGACCATTCGCTTCATCAGAAGATGAGTTCTATAGGATGGAGGTTGAGCATTTACGTCCGGGTATGTGCAGCTGTCTTCTACATGAAAGTTTGAAGCTGACATGGGACCTCATGGAGGCACTACTCCTCCATCTCAGAAGACTGTCAGTGAGGATATTAAAACTATCCATACTTACGCACGGTACAAGCTAAGCTCCAAGATTGTATAACAATGGTTTGTGTAGCCATTCGGAAACTGACAAGAGCTTGATTTAGAATTGCTCATTCAGCAAAATTCATTGCACAACTGACGAATGGTCCGGGAAACTTGGATCAGCATGGAAGGCTGTTACAGCGGTCATGCTGGAGGAAGCCAAAGATCTGCCTACATCATTTGTACTGGATTATGTCCGGTAACTTCATTTCCCTAACTTCCTCACTTGCAGGCCAACTAACTGATCAAGGCTTTGCGGAAAACACTCCGGAAAGAACCTTGCAGTTGCCCTGGCTGAATGTTTGGAGTCCTGGAGCTTAAAAGAGCGTGTAAGTGAATCAATGAAATGGAGTGTGGTGTGAATGGCTAATGTGTCATGCAGCTTGGGGCGGTGACAGCAGACAATGCAACAGTGAATGATGTCATGATAGTGGAGCTCTCTAAAATTATTCACGGATTTTTAGGCAGGGCTATGCACGTTCGCTGCTTCGATCACAGCCTTAATCTCATGGCAAAGGTGTTGTTCCGCAGTATAATTATTTGGATCCCATCTAAAGCTTTGCTTTCATAGGCAATGCTATCCACGTTCTATCCCGAAAAGGTCAGAAAACCAAAGGCTACCAAGAAGACAACAAAGGTAAAGTCCGCAGTGGCCAAGGACTCCGCTAGTGAAACTGAAGATATCGAAGATACTCCCCATGAGGATTGTCCATTTGAGGCTGCAGCTAGCCTTGATGACATTGATGTCGGCTTGGCAGCCAATACTGAATTTCCCATGGAACTTGATGGCGAGCCACTGACTGCTGCTGAGCTTGTGGCTGTTGATCTAGCAGTCAACGAGTTCTCAAGGAAGGTGTGGACTCTCACAGCTGAAGCGGATACCACATTTGTGGAGGAGTTTGGGATCAAATGCACCGATGCCGAGCACAAGAGTGCATCACGAATTATGGACATTGTGAGCAGTTCTTTTATTTACTCTTGAACCCCTACTCATGCCACCACAGCCCTCCAAGCTCGCTTCAAAAGTGAATCATTCGACTCAGCTACTTGAGGGGCTTGAGCATATTATCCTGGGTTTAAAGGGACAAATTGAATCCTCAGCATGATGTCTCATCACTAAAGTCCCAACACGGTGGGGGTCGGAATACAACTGTCTTGCCCAGCACCAAATGCTCAAGGATGCAATTGATGATTTTACGTCTGTGCCATGGCATGGTTGTGAAGCTTATCATCTCTCACCGATGGACTGGGATCAGCTTAACGGGTTAAAGAATATACTTAATGTGAGTGCGTCATTAATCCTTTGCACCTGATACTTATGGAAGCCTCAAGTTGTTTGATGCCCTCATCAAAAAATTCTCCGCATCTACTACATTTGAGGTAGCAGAAATTTATGAAGCTTTTGAAGAACTTGAAGTGTCACTTGACAAAGCTCGCAATGATGCCAACTTGGATAAGGTTGTGCAAATTGGCGCAAATCGTGCCCTATTCATACTTGGAAAGTATTACAACAAGCTTGATGAATGTGAAGTATATCCAATTGCAACAAGTGTGTACTCTTTGGCTGTAAATGGTTGTATTATTTATCCCCTCCCATCCCATACAGTACTCACACCGACAAAAACATACCGCTGGTTTAAGAAGAATGTTGGCTGGGCTGAAGAATGGAAGCAGATGCCTCTTAATAAACTCCGTCACCGGTGGGTTATAACCTACAAGCCAAAGCCAGAGCCAAAGGCCTCCCTGATGCCTGGTCTGGAGGATTCACATGAAACTGAACCACCTCTGAATGTACGTCCAGTTTATCTTTCGAGCTATGTGCTGATTTGGTCTACTTGTATCAGTCCTATAAATCTACAACTGTTATTGTCAACCTCGACAGTGAAGATGACGATGATATGGATGATGAGCTAGACTGGTACCTCAGACTGAAACCAGTCCCACGTGTCCAATGTCCCAACCCTATTCGCTGGTGGCTAGATCGGAAAGCCGACTATCCTAACCTGTCCCACATGGTGATTGACTATCTGATTGTCCCTGGTATGTGCTGAGATTGAAGGTTCAACCTCACTTACTTGGCATCATTAGCAACATCTGTTGATTCGGAGAGGGCATTCTCAGCATGCACGCTTATGCTGGGTAAGCTTCGCACTCGCCTTTCAGATGAATCTTTCCACGCTGGTCTCCTCCTACGTTCATGGCATAAAGCCGGCTTACTGCCCGAGCTGGGAGAAATGGCCCAGTGTCTCCGGGATGCCGATGCAGCAGCTGCAGCCCAGAGGAAGGAGTTGAGAAAGCGCCCTGCTGGTGAGGATAGTATTCATGTCTCACCAGGGAAGAGGGCACGGTACATAACCCATTAGATTTTTTTGAATTCTGACTACATCAATAGTGCCATGGATTGCACCAATAACTCTTGTTTTCCATGACAGATGAGAGCAATGCCTACCGTCACCGAGAGCATGTTGAACTCACCGGAAGTGTAATACCTCATCGACGTGAATTAAGCCTAACAGATAAAGATCACCGGGATGGCCTGTGTCGCACCTTCCAGCGGGCTATAACATCGCCTCACAGCAAACTTATTATTATATACTTGGACTGGTAACCTAATGTTCATGAACGGTTTGTGAATGGTTCACAAACGATTCGTGTGACCCTCCTTGGACCCTGAAAGTTCATGAACTTTGGTTCATGCAGTTCACGTGAAGTTCATGCCCAACTCTAAGCGCAACGGGCAACTCGGAGCGATAGAGTAGTGTGGCTGGCAACGACCCCGACAAATGTTGAAGCCTCTGGAATATTGAGCGACCCGGTTTAAGTACAAGATTGAGTGATCGCTGGTGGAGAAGGCGCAAGGAACTGAGGTGAAAGCACATCGGTAGGTGTGAAGATGGCACAGAGGCCGAACGCACATGGCACAACAAACAGGACGCGAACAAAAGAAAAGAACACAATGTACCAAATCAGCATTTGAAAGGCAATAAGTAGGTATGCCACAAGCAAGGTTAAAGAGAGTTTGCGGTGTGTGGCAGACACGATGGAAACCAGAATGCACCTCCATTTAATCCCAAGTCCTCGCAAAAAACGAAAAAAAAACCCAAATTCCGAATGAGGCACGTGTAGCATGGGGCAAGGTGCGGACGCCCGGCATGGCTGCAACATTATTTAATAACTGGTGGGTGCCGCCTGACATGGCAGAACCTGCTACTCAACCACGTCGGTAATTCATTCGGTTCAGTATGGAGTTTACATTGAAGACAGAGTCCCACAATAAATCAATCACTCCCCCCTACCTCATACGCACAACCAGACATCAGATGCACATTTTAAAGGATCAAGGACAGCGAAATCCTCACCAAAGAACCACCATCATCCCCATCTCCCCTCCCCCATCCTGTTCGGGTTGGAGGTGTATGGAAGTCGCAATCTGTCATGCCATTCCCTTCAGTCAAATCTGTTTCGTTGTATTGAATATGCACCAGCATAATGTGGCAATAAGAGAGCCCACGATTTTGAGTCTCAATCATGTTGCAGAGAGTGCACGCGATGTGAGAGGTGCAGAATGTGGAATGGTACTCAGGTTCGAGATATATAAAGGCCCCATTACTTTGGAAACCCAGGTGCAAGATATATTAAGTGCCCAATCAATTAAAAACCCAGGTTCGCGATATATCAATCCTCCCTTACTTTGAAATCGTAGTGGTCATCAGTAGAGAGCATATCAGAGAGATTGAATTTTTCCATTACGGGTTAATATGCAAGACAAACAATCCAGTAACTTTTTTGGGGCAACCCAAATGCCTCATTCAAAAAAGGAAACAAAAGTTGAGAACACTGGCGAAAAGCCACATTGCCACAGTATACAATGGCTCAGTCAAAATGCAAACCCAAACACCGTTCCGTAGATCTGAGATGAGATCCTTTTGATATGGGGCTTTTGGTAACTTCACCAAACCTAAACTGCCATCCCAACTTCAGCCATAGTGAAAAAGAGAGTCTGAAGAACAGTACTGACACCTAAGCCCAATCGTTCACCATCTTCCCTTTCCTTTCTCCTCCCCCATGTCCATTCCCTCCATACCGGACTCTTTCTGTGAGAAGAAAGGACCCTTCTTGACGTTCGGACTTTGGAGAAAATCCTCAGCAACGTGTTTGGCCCCAGCTTTAACAGGTGAGTTGTCCACAGAGCGAAGCAGGTTGGTTTGACCGACAATCTGAATGGCCGTCCAGTGGCACTGGAAAGAGCGGATCTCCCCTCGACCGGTATTACGAGCGCATGAGCTAAATCAACAACAATGAGTACTGGGCTAAGCCAACAGACACTCCAACGCGTTCCACTGGGCTCACAAATGCAATGTAGCAGTGCCAATGACCACCAATCCTTCTTGAAAAGTGAGTTCCAGCATATTGCGAGGAATCTCAACTCCATCCTGATTGAATGCCCCCACCTCAATGAGAAATTCCACCTCTGGACCTCCATATTGGGTGGCAGTGCAATCAGACCTGGTCAAGAAAGTGCTGACAGTGTCAGCACTTTGCCCAGAGGACTTCCATATTGGGTGGCAGTGCAGTCAGTGGGGGTCGGCAATTCAGGTTGACGACTGTTCACCCACCCGTGGCTGTGCTGTCTATTGCGAATAAAGCTGGGAATGGCGGGACATTTGACTCTCTACACAACAAATATAGAACTCAAGTGATTGCAAAATAGTGTTCTTGGTGACCCATACCAGTGCACCTTAGGTTTTTTTCGTTTTGAATATGCTTCTTTGTTGAGATATTGCGAGAAATCACAGTGAAAAACATGAAAGATGCCATTAATTTTGAAAACGAAACCTATGGATACCTAGATACATCCAATACAATATATATTCAATTCATCTGTAAAGTCAAGACACTATGAGATGAAGGAGAAATTTGGGCAGTGGGATTTGTGGTTATCGAGTGCATGCGGCAGTTGCCGAAGCCCAAATTCGTGCACAAAGTGGGCCTTTTTTGCTCTTTTAAGTGCATTCACACACCGGGGTTGGGTACTGATGAGGGATCCCATTGTATCATGGCGTCACAGTGGAACCGGGTCAAAAGGAATGGCCGTTTTCGTAATCAAAAAGCTGCATCAATTGTCAACGAGTTCATCACAGCAAAGCTTACACCAAGAAAACACAAGTTCTTGTGGACAGCCCCTATCAGCGTGTCAGGATCCGAGAAAGCTCGTAGAAAATTGCTTGCAGATGCTGGAATAGCGAAGGTTGCAGAAAATAGGAGGGAAAGGCAGATAAAGGAACTCAAATACACCGCTAAAATCGAGGCATTAAAGGCGGTTGAACTCACCAATGACATAGAATGGGCAAGAAACCCAAAGACAACCATCGCGCAGCTGGCAGCCTAAGCCTCAGCTAAATGCATATAGGCTCCAAGATGCGTTGGTTCCTCTCAGCAGTCGCATTCCAAATCAGGATGACAAGGTTAGAGAGCTGGTGCTAGCAATTGAGCACAGGAGAGGGCGAGAAATGGAGGATGCGGGAGATAGCGAGATGATGACAGCCGATCAGCACAATCCCACAGAGTAACTAAGGAGGACTTGAGGACGTTACAGTTGGGTTGGACCAGGGTTGGTATGCAATTTTCAATGAAAAACTGGTGATCTAACCCAGTCCAACCAATGCATGGAGCCATGTTCGCCCCAATAGGAAAATTCCAATGAGGGTAAGAAGGTTGTAGGTCATGAGACTAGTTGTGCTTCCCCAAATGAGAAAACCCCCATTGGTGTCTGTGAAAGCGCAGAGTGGATGATGATGATAACCAACAGCGTAAATTATTGCCCTAATGAGAATTTTCACATTGGGGAAACTGAGCAGTTAGTAGAGTTAACAGTTGTCTGGCTGCCCCTTTTCCATCATCAAGGAGTAAATTATTGGCCAAGTATCAGCCTATCCTGCATGCAATGCCCAAATAGGAACTTTCCAAATGGGGCCACTCTGCCATTCATGATGATTTCTAGGTAAAATTCAGGGTTGCGGAGTGGGTTGGAGATCTCCAGATCAATATCTACTACCAAATAGCTTGGCAACAGAGATGAAGACTTGGAATATATATTTTGTTTAACAAATATATGGATGGATTCCATCCTGAAAATTAATTATTTACATCTACCTTGTACTTTTGTTCACAAGCAAAACAACAATGATGTCACTTATGTAATCATCTAAATAATAATTATATCGGATATTTATTCTGTTCACAAACACAAATACAACATGAATCATTGTAGTCCAAATCATACTGTTATCCATGGGCATAAATACGATGTGGGTCAGTTAAATGGTAGACACCAACTTTGCTCATATTGTTGAAGAATCATAATGGACAAGGTTGCTTTACTGTTTGTGAACATTGGTATGACTTCCCCACATTGGCTGGTGAAGAAACTGCCTGATGAGAAAATTTCCATTGGGGTGAATGATAGTCTGGATGGTGGGCAGCACGGCCGAACAAAGGCCGTGTGCCATCCAGACTGTTATTCACCCCAATGGAAATTTTCTCATCAGAGCAAAAATCATCAATCCCCCCACCTTCCAGACAAAACCAGGCTTGTGCAGATCACCATGACGAGTCTCCAGATATCAGATAGGATGGATTAATACTAGAGTGCTTGCCCTTCACATTTTACCTTGTTTCTACATAATATTAACACTGGGAGAGCGACCTGCTGTCTGAAGCATCCTCAGTTTCTTGTTCAACACCATGAAATGCTGTCCTCCAATAGGGGGTTTCAGTTTATGTGCTCATGATTGACTGTCCCAAACCAGTCCCAAACTTGCTCAATGCTTGAGGCCACAGCTGGCTCCTTAACACTGACATCACATGGCTCTAAATAGATTATGTAACAACTCCAAAGCCATGCTCATCTCTGACCACCAATACATCATTGCTGTTGCTGTCCAACATGCTGAGTGGGGGTGTGGTTTCCATGGAGGTTGTTGCACAGGGGGTTGGGTGCAGTGTAGGTGCCATTGTTGAAGCAACATGCCATATCATGATAGCAATTGTACCGCTTCATGACCAGGCAATCCAATGGCCCAATTTGGATGAGAAGCACAAAGCATCAGACTGGGTTGAGAGCATTTCATGCAGTGCTCGACACCCTGGATTTTGCAAGGTTGATGGGACACTCATACCCCTTGCATCAAAGCCAGGCCATTTTGGAGAGCATTTTTTTGATTGCAAATCAAATTACTCACTGAGCTTAATGGTATGACAATCATTTCTGTATTGACTTTCCTACTTATTACCTTTCCCAGCTAGTGACATTACCCAATCTCTACATTATTGACTATGTCCTTGGTCCACCTGGTATCATGCATGACTTTACTGCATTTGTCATATCCTGGACCTTCCATTCTGCTCTTAGATGACTCACACTACAACCACCAACCCCCTTAGCCACCTCTGCCCTCTCTGGTCAATGCCTACGAGCCCAAGTCTTCTTCCTACCCTGACTCTCTTCCACCCCATGTACCCTCTCCACTTCTGCACCTCCTATGGACCTCCACCATTGTTCTGATGAGTGCTGTGTGGACTACTGATGAAGTTGTCAGAACCCCCATCTCTCATCATCACTTCCTTATATTCAACTCTGGACCTCTCACCTCCAGACCCCCTTGGGTACCTTCTGCCTCAGACCTCCTTGGATGTACATATTGCGAGTAGACTAAGGTTACTACCATGATTATTATTAGTCATACTTCCTCCTACCTTACCCTACCCCTTCCTCATCAGGATCTCTGTACCTCCATCATCCTCACCTCCAGACTTCTGTTTGTCAATCCTGCAGACCTCCATACCCCCAGTACCTCCTTATCTCCTACCCTACCTCTGCCATCATATTCTTTAATTACTCCTTATATTTTCCCTGCACCCAATATCCCAGACTGCAACTTCTGAGTTCTGGACCTTTCTGGATGTTTTCCTCATAGTACCCCTGCTCACTTATGGATAGACTTAACCTCTGTTATTCAGTTGGTTCACCATTCTCCCACTCCACACTTGGGCTTTTTGCCTAAAACCCATTTGTCCTGTGGAGTCATTTATTATTCACTTCTGCTTCCCCTTGGTAACATTGGTTTACCTTCGGACTCAAATATTCTATACAGGTTTTCACCCCTCAATGGTCCAGATTTTGAAACCTGTTGTCACAAAACTCTATTAAAAAATCCCAAAAATTTGTAAAGTACAAAGAAAACAAACATGTACCTATGAAAGCCGATATTATCGAGAATGTATGCAAGTATGCACAAAATCTGCACATTTACCCTCAATGAGATTGTGTGACATGGTGTGACAGTGTGCTCACACACCCACACTGGACCCATGTTGTGATTGTTCTGCACTCCCTGATGCCCCCAGTGACACACGAGGCTTTGTTGAAGCTGTGGATATGTAATTTTTGGCCATCCACTCCCTCATTTGGACCTCCGATGGCTTTGGTAGCACTTTTTGCTTGAGTGCAGCCAAGTGTGCTTTTTCTTCCTGCCACTTTGCTATTTCTGCTTTCTGTGAGTTGTTAAACCTTTTCCATTGCTCCTTGGCCTCTTCCTTCACTTGTTCCAGCTCTTCCTCATCCAATTGTCTTTGAGTGCGCTCAGCTTGGTCCCTCAAGAAACCATCATGCATCACAACTCAGCCAAATGTCCCCTTAATGTGACCACCATCCTCCTTCAACTTCTCTGCTTCTTCCCACACTAAGAGCTGTATCTGAGACTTAGACACATATATCCCCCCAATGCCAACTGGGCATTTGTCACATCCACTACATTGGTGGCTCTCTCTACCAAGGCTTTTGCCTTCCAAAGCTTGTGCCACATTTCTTGGATCTCTTCCATCAATTCAAGGTGGGTCTTGGAAGCGGGAGTTTGAAGGTTGATTGGAGAGGTGAGGAGGACATGATGGAATTTGAGGATGAGGAAAATGACATGATATATTCCAGGCCATTGATGGCATGCTTCTTTGCCTGGGCATGAGCAGGAGGAAAGGTAAGAGACTGATCAGAGCTGGTGGTGGTATTCTCAGCACTAACTGCAGTACCCTCAGTGCTAAGTGTCGCATTCTCAGCACTAAACATCATACTCTCGGTGCTTAAGGATTGCAGTGGTGTGTGGAAATTGTATGGGGTGGCACATGGGATGCACATTATTTGAGAGATGGCAAGCAAGGTGGGATTGATGATTGGTCCATTGCTTTTGTCACCAGTAACCTCACCATGCAGATCATTATTTCTGCCTAGGTACATTCTGACATCCTGTGAGTTGTCCATTGGTGAAGGCGTGCCATTGCATTGGTACAGTTGTGGACAGGCAAATACATTAAAGTTTCCAGACTGGAATTTTTCATCACAATAAGCTCAATTTTGAGGGAAACAAATTCTTATTGGGTGTAGCTACCCAAAAACGGTGTTTTTAGATTTTTCTCTCTTTTTTTTAGCCCCGGACAATTTTTTGAGCAAAAATTTTCACATGTTATGAGTATTTGAGTGACTTCGCAAGAGTATATCAACATTTAGAAGGCTCAGGTGAATTTAAGTTGAGAATGGCCTCCATTGCAGCCATTGCTGCTCCAGATGCAGTGCGATGGCCCTTCTGTTTTTTTACTGCCCACTCTGCAGCCTTCCCAGTCAACCCACTACGATATGCATCCATAAAACGCCATGCACGATTAATAAACTTGCGAATAGTGCTGAGGGGGCATGAGTTCAAACACTCAAGCACTGCTGTCTTGGCAGCTGCAAAGGAAGGTTTCCAAATGTCACGATATCGGTACTTGCAATACCCCCAGTACTGTGAAACCATTAGACACATGCCAAGGAATATTTGAAAACAAAACATTTCAATCGGATTGAGCTCGCAGTGAAACTTTGGCAAGAACATGCAAAGATGTCCGGCTTTCTCAATTAGTTCCTCGAGCATAGATTTCTGATTAATGAAATCAGATTGCCGACTAAGAATGCGTGCAAGGCAGCAGTCTGTGTTCTCAAATGAACAGACTGGCTTGCATTTTGCATTTATCCCTTTTGTATCAAAGCCACGCTCTGTCAACACCGACTCTAGACCTTTTGCTTTGCCATCGGGGGTTTTCATTGCTTGCTTCTTTCCGCGTTGGGAGATGTCTGGGACACTCTCATCATTTGGGATCACTGTATCATGTCGAATTCTCTGTTTTCCACCATCAGATTGATTCATGTCGAAAGCATTCAGGGCATCGGGGCCAAGTGACGTGTGGGCTGAGGACTGGTCAAAAATGAATAGAGCCTGACATCCTGGATAAGCACGCTCAAAAATTGGAATGGCCTTGGTCCGCATTTGATCCAACAGTTGATTAGTGTCCCACCAAGAATCACCACCAGTCCCAGGATAGATTATTTTTCGAGCATCGTTGTCTTCTGATATTGTCCCATCTGAGTTGGCAACCACGAGCTGGCCACTCTCCTCATTAATGAAGTCAGAGACATGAATGAGCCGGCCACGGCTCTTCTTTTGAAGGATTGTCTCCCCTGGTTTGAGCCTAGATTAGAGAA